ATTATGGTAGACCAACGGTACACTTTTTTTTTTTTTTTTTTTTTTTTTTTTTTTTTTTACTACGTTCACATAACCAGCTCGAAAAGAATAAGGAAAGACAATGGTACGGAGACTAGGACAAACGTGACAACTAATGAGCAGGCGCTGCACCGAGACGCAGCAGTGATGGTGGGGCATTGATGACTCTGCCGACCTGAGGTCTCGGCGTCACGGCCAAAAACACGCACCAAAAACAATGAAAAAAGAAGAAGATAGAGCTGTACAGGTGAGAAAGATGCAAAAACCCAAGGCTTAACACGAGCGATTGTGGGGGAGAAACTGTCTTAGCGTCATACTATTCATAGGGAATCGACTGCCCAGAGCCAGTTTGTGCTGCGAAGATGGCGGTAAACATTCGTTTTGAATGATTGCATTCTCTTGCTGTGGGGAGGCTGGGCTAGGAGAGCGGCAGGGAGGGAGTTCCAATCGCTGATGCTGCAGTGTGGGAACGAGCGCTTCAGTGCCAGCGGGGCAGATGCAGGCAGCTGGTGTTGGAGCTGGTGGTCATGGCCACTGACAGCACCGTGCTCGCTGCGAGTTCTGGGGTTGGTAGAGATGATGTGGCGCGGTGGCAACACAGAGAGCAGCTGCGGAGGACCTGGCAAGTAGTGCAGCTTGTACAGGCAGGCAAGCGAGGCAACAGTGCGGCGGATGGCCAGGCTGGGTAGGTGTGCCCCAGGGCCGATAGCATGAAGCGCGCGGCGCTGAACATTGTTCAGACGCTGGAGGTGACTCTGCGCAGCTCCCATCCATACAAGAGGCGCATACTCCATGACTGGTCGTACGAACGCCTTGTATACGGTCGTCCGGCCGGCGGGGGTGAGTATGTGGGCGGCTCTGTTTAGGACCCCAAGCCGTTGGCGTGCACGGGTGGCTACGGAGCGTAGGTGATCGCTGAAGGTCAACTTGGCGTCCACCTTCACACCAAGGAGGGTGATGGTGGTTGTCTCGGGCACCAGTGTGCCACCAAACAGGAGTGGGGGGAGATCTAAGCCGGTGCGTCTGAGGGTGGCTGTCATGGCCTGGGATTTGGTCGGTTCAAACATCACTTTCCATGTACGACCCCACTCGTGCAGTCGGTCAACGGACACCTGCAGTGACTGCGCGGCGACTGTTGGGGTCTGCTGGGAGGTGACTAAGCTGTACAAAGTTGTATCATCAGCATAGGCTTCCAAGCTGGCGCCGTCAGCGAGAACATCTGGCGCGTCGTTGACGTAGGCCAGGAAAAGCGTTGGTCCAAGGATGCTTCCCTGGGGGACTCCAGCGGAGGTCGTATACCTAGATGACGTCCGCCCTCCAACGAGGCACTGTAGGGAACGGGTGTCCAGGTATGACGCCAGCCATCTCTGAAGCGGACCATCTATGCCTAGGCTACGTACCTTGTGGAGGAGGCCGACATGCGAGACACGATCAAACGCTCCTGCGATGTCCACAGCAAGGATACGAGCCGCCCCTCCACAGCCCACAGCGCTTGCCCAGGCAGTTTGGAGCGCTTGCAAAGCGTCCGATGTTCCGAGGCCTCTGCGAAATCCAAACTGGTGCGACGTGAGCAGATGATGGTCTTCAAAATAGTTTACGATGTGTCTGTTTACAAGAGTTTCCATTACTTAAACCCCAGAGGCCTCCCAGGGGCCACATAGGGCGCAATGTGCCTGTGCCGCTTCTGTGCCCCAAAGTGAGTGTGTCCTTGATGGCTAGCGGTGTACTAGTACTCCACTAGTCGAAAGGCTACCTGTATCCTAGCACCCATGCCGCTGACTGTGATCATGAAGACAGCTCACCAGGCTGGATAATACGCGACTGGCAAGAGGACTGCCCCCCGCCCCGCCGCGGGGCAAGGGTATCCAGCTCGGGCTACAGCGAGGAGGCGGTGAAGTCTGGATACTGTGAGGCCCCTATGGTGGGTGATAACTACCCTGAGGTTCCCCTCACAGAAACTTCCAATTGTGTGCTACAGGTGGCGTGGACTTGCAACCCTGACTACACGCTCGTTGGAGCTGACACTGCTGTGTGTAGTGGTGATGCGACGTGGAGCAGACCACCGCCTACTTGCGAAGGTGAGTGCGTGCATGTCATACTGTTCACTCATGTACTCTCCCTCTGATACGTTGGACAGATTACACAACTACAGGGTGTCTCAAGATGCCAGCACTAACCGCAAGTAGGCACTGAGCTATTAGCACACAATCAATCAGGTAGAACACCACGGAATGATGACAAATTGATACATGGCACCCCGAAACACATCTGGCTAGAAATATTTTGTTCATTGACAACAGTCAACGATGGCAACGGCTCTGAATGAACGCTGTAGAATCCGCTATGTAGAAGCTTTATCAACACACCACTGATGCGGGCTAGGTCCTCCACTTTCAGACTATAGAATACTAGAAGTACAAGAGTGAGCTGACACATTTCTTGCTTTTCCCGTTCCCTCTCTCTCTCTCTCTCTCTCTCTCTCTCTCTCTCTCTCTCTCTCTCTCTCTCTCTCTCTCTCTCTCTCTCTCTCTCTCTCTCTCTCTCTCTCTCTCTGCGGTGTGCAGTGGAATGCCTGGCTACCATACCAGATGACTTCCTGGAGGATTCCCACGCTGTCTCCAGGGCATACGGCGCACCGGACTGCGGCAAAGTTGCCGCAGACATCATTGTAGCCCTGGACGGCTCGAGCAGCATGAAGCCCGCACCGCGCAGCTGGGTGCACGAGCTGATCGAACGCGTCGACATGGAGCTAAAGGAGCGGGGAATCGGCCTGTCGCGCGGTCTACCGAATCACTTCACACTTGTCGGATTCGGCCGGCTCCACTGGAAGTGGCAGACAGGACCACTTGCCTCGCCTCATGTTATCACCGATGCTGCCGGGGAGATGGTGTACGGGATAGATGGGTTCAAGGATGCCTGCAAAAAGCTTGAGACGTTTGGCTCACTGGAAGACGGCTACCTGGCAATGAAGTTTGCCCTGCAGAATATTACAGATGAACAGAGCAAGAGACAGTTGATCCGCGTCAAACAGGACAACGTTGCTCCCATCGTTATTCTGATCACCGACGAGGATCGCGACACTCACAAGGGCGGTGAGTCGCTGACAAGAAGCCACATCAAGCGGATCATGCGCAAGAGCGGTGCCCAGATGGAATGCATAGTGGACAACAAGTTTCAGCCAGGCTTTGGTATGGACGCAACGGGAATGCTCTACACAGACAACGGACGCAGTGGCGAGTACGAGAAAGTCGACCCCGGCCAGTCCCACCGCCTCTTCCTGCACACGACGTACCGGCAGACTCGCCGAGACTACACATCCGTGGCACTGGAGCTTGGCGGTGCTGCCTGGGATCTCAAGCAGCTCTTCATGGGCGACCAGCTGCAGCCGCACCATGTACAGGCATTCGCTGACCGTACGGCCGAGATGGTCGAGCACAAGGTGCACAAGTGCTGTTCCTGCCAATGTGCCACTCTCAACGGAGGCGACTACCTGCGCTGCTCTGCCGAACTGACACCCGGAACCTGCAAGAGGCGACGTCCACCCACAATCTTCCGCACCCAGCGAGGACGTTGACCTGCACGGATACTTCTGACGCGTGACTAAGTGTACAGTGATAGGCACTGGTTGGACATAAGTGAGTCATGAATAATGTAGTGAAAATGCCCAGTGCTGTACTATAGTTGGGCATGAATGCATGGATGCACGAATGCACTTTTTAAAGACTATAGATGGGCATTAATCCACTCTCAGTTTTAATCAGTTTTGCGATTGCTACGAAAAGTATGACAAATTTTTTGTTGTTTAGCAGCCCTACATCATTGCTCGCAGGTCTTTCCATCTGTATGTTTTAACCAATAATCACTGTATTTTACATCCCTAGGCACCATCTCTGCATCATGGTTTCTGATACTCATCCAAGTGCTACTTGCTCATACTGCATAATAAGACTGACATGTTTGCTCTGCCTAGCCTTCTCAGTTGTACCAGCTATGGAGCTGCACAGTGTACACTCCGAACTACCCGCCAAGCATCTAGCACAATAGAGAAGTCCTGACACCATGCAATGCTGCACCTTCACAGTTGGTATAGATGAGTGTATGTGTTTGTGTGTGCATGCTTTATTCAATGCGCATTGGTATGTGCCCCTCTGATCCCAACTGCCAGTGAAGGATCAGTCAGCTCGGGGCAACTTAAGACAGTCTTTTGCCTGTGGGTAATGATCCTATACTGGGGGTGACTTTGCAATCTGAATGGGCTCACCTTCTTTTAAACTGTGTTGCCAGCATAAGAATATACTCGCGACTAAATAGACCGGTATTTTGTTGGTCATCAACCATGTGCATTGTACTGACATATTGATACCTCAGACAACAATGTTGGAACTCACACGTCGGTATAATACTGAAGTCTGCAGTATACGAAAAGCAATAATGACAAAGTTGAAGGAGATACGTTTTGGACACGTGCTGTGAACACTGTATGCTAGACTGTGCTACATTAAATACAGAGGTCAGCTCCACTTTACACAGCATCCTGCTGACATTGCTCTCGCAGAACAACTTGCAAAAACAACTCAAGACACAGAATACGATCCAAATATACGGAACAAACTCAAATACAATGTTGTACAGCGGAATACCATACAACAGACCATACAACAGACCATACAACAGACCATACAACAGACCATACAACAGACTTCCTAATGGCATTGCAAGTATAGTGATCACATGCTACACTAGGTCTTTGTGGGCGCTGTACATGATTCTTGCACAACACAATAACTAAAGGCAGTATTGTCCCATAAAGACCATCTGGTCCAGGAACTCCAGGTGGTCTATCTTTTCTCAGAGCAGGCAGTGAACACAGCGTTCTGTTGCCTTACATCTATAGCGCTAGGTGTGTAACACCATATGTTTGTCAGTGTGATAGGGACTGCACACTACACAGAGGATCTGAACAGTCCCATGCAGTACACAGCCAGGTCCAAAGGAGATGATTGTGCCGGGCAGATGAATGAGGTGCTAGCAGGTGAAAAAACCACCGTCGCGTTTTCTAGAGTAGCCCTGGTTAGTCTCGGTTGTGTGATGGCCACCTATGTACACAACACAACATATAAACAATGATTTTTTGTTCTGTGTTGGGAGTGCCACAGTGCAAAAAACGGTATTAAATGACGTGAATCGTACAGATCAACCTGACAAATGGGAATCAGTCTCAACATCTCCCCTCCAGCGTTTCATGCATCGGAAACAAAAATACATCCAAGTAAATGACACTGCACATTTACATTCTCCCTATTCCAAAACTCTTTTCACCAAGCAATCAAAACGAGAATCTGTCATTGCACAGCTAAAGAGACAAGTGCCGGGTTTGTGATAGGATGAGATACTTACCAGGGAGTAGTAAAATATCATGTATTTTACTACTCCCTGGTACTTACTGATGGCTCCCTTGCTACTGTGTTCATTGGCCTTCTTCTTCTCCGTGTGCACAACAGGAGGGCGCTTGGCTGGGTCGATGGGCTTCTCTTCTTTGATACGATTCTTCAGGACATGCCTGCAAGCACAGCATCCATGGACACACCGCACCGGAAATGAGAAGTTCTGCCTGAAATGTATGGACAGACCACATCTCTAGACACACCACACGCCAAATGGGAGGCTCCACCCAATATGGATGGACAGTCACACACAACACCCCAAATGGGAGGTTCCACCCAATATGATTGCATGGTCACACCATACCCCAAATGGGAGGCTCCACACAATACGTATGGACGATCACACACACCACCCCAAATGAGAGGTTCCACCCGATACTTGACATCTAATAAATAACTGGGAACCATTTCAAATTCATGTACACGTACACCCGTGGCTAGCCAGGGACCAAAGAGACTGAACACAACTAGTAGAACGTTACCTGTCCTAGTGCAATGTTGGCTGTTTCTGCTAGTTAGAGCGCTCCTCCGACTTTCATGCTTTGAGTTGGTTTTTAGAAATGCTTCGGTGTTCTCTCGACTTTATCGCGATGGTTCAACCAGTCACTCTCAGATTTACTTAAAAGACCTAACGAGGTCGACATGTTAGCTTTCTGGAGATTCAGCCGTAGAGATGTACATGTATGTAGCTGGGAAAAGTTGTTGTACTTTCAAAACAACGTGCTGCATACTTGAAAGTTCCATTGCGTCATGATAGATAAGGTGTTGTTTGTAACGCAATGCACACGTAAAATGCTGTGATACCGTGCCAATGGCTAGACAGCGTATGTGTACATTCTATGTGGCAAGGCAAGTGAAAATGTTGTTCAGCCGAGAGCACTAAGGGGCACAGGGCATTCTCCTGGTTGACGTACACCCTGCATGCTCAGCATGATACTTGTACCATCTGCAGTCATACCAGGTAGAGCGTTAGATCTGTTCAGCCAGTCAAGAAACAACTCCCTCTTTCCAAGTCTCACCTGTGGGGCAGGCCGAGCGTCTCCTTCTGATACAGCACCTCATTCTTACCCTTAAACCCATCTCCATGGTGATCATACTGTCCTTTCATGGCAAAATCCAACTGGTCCGATGGAACCTGGCCAGAATGCAACAAAATGAATGACGGACACGGCGATGAGCATTGCACCATAGTTCCTCGATTCGCCCCAGCAATGCACGGTGAAGATGTGTGGCAACGTGACAGATACCTAACTAACAAAGAGCACTGAAATATTCAGCAGCCTGACACTGAGATCAAGCACATCACCCAGGCTCGTGTCGTGCACCCGTACCCTAAGCACTCGTTCTTACGTCTGGCTCGTAATAACCTGCACTGCGCCTGACACTGGACAGGGTCACTGTGCTGTTGAGCCGCTCCCAGGGATTGCTGGCGATGTGCTCGGTGCTTTTCTGATGATACACGCCCTGGACAAGGAGAATGTCAAATGGCCACAAACACCACACCACCATGTCTTGGGTCACATACACTCGCGTGTGCGGACGTGTGACAATCTGCATTGTTGTTTAGTACTACATATACACGTGTGTGAACCAAACAACACGACTATAATTATGTACGAAATTAATTAATAACAATGATTGACTGTGTGAAATGCAGTGCTCTCTTGAGTGTAGGCAGGTTGCCTACAAACTGTTCAAGTGCAATGAAGCCGCGTGAAGCGTCCTTCAAAATTTTGAAACAATGATTGAAGCCTCAGAAATCAAACCACCTTCTGTACTGAGCAATATGGGAATGATGTGTTTTGTGTGTGTGTGTGTGTGTGTGTGTGTGTGTGTGTGTGTGTGTGTGTGTGTGTCCCATATGGTGCAGTGGTATGTGCAGTCGATTTCCAATCGAGAGGTTGCGGGTTCAATTCCCGACGATTATGGTCGCATACATCTTTCTTCTCTTTCTCGGACTCTTCCTGACTTTTCTTTCATTCTCCTGGGTGGTTACCAACAGCCAGTGTATGCCGGAGTATGTGGTGTGGTGTGTGTGTGTAGAAAAAAAATGAAAAATGAAAAATAGGGATTCACTGGCCAGAAAAAGTCACTTCAAACAGCTGTGTGGTGGATACCAGGCTAAAAATAGTGGCGGTCAATTCATCAGCCTTGCAAGCTGTTGAATGGTGTAATCCCAGCACAAGTTGCTATGTCTAACATAGCTGTTCGTTATCATCGCTTCCGCGATGGGCATGTCTGAGGTCTGAAGTGTGTGTGTGTGTGTGCGTGTGCGTGTGCGTGTGCGTGTGCGTGTGTGTGTGCGTGCCAGCTAGTTTGGTTGGTGGGTACACTTATGCCAGATAGTGTTGGGCCTGTTGCCAACGGGCTCGGCTGCTTGAAGGTGTATTGTTGTACCTACCACCTTTGTTGGTTTCAGGGTTCATATACTTTCTATTTGAAGTATACATACCTGTTAACCATGGACTGCTTCTGGCTAGATTAACTCTTGTGTAATCAATGGTGCTAGTGAAGCTTATATCAGATCCACTCTGATTTAGCCACCCACACTAGTACCAAGTATTACCTTCACTGGGGGCAGGGGTACCTGCAGTTGGATCCCGGGACGGATACCCTGATGCCGTCAATCCTTTTTTCTGCACCTTGTCCTCACCCACTTACTGAGGTGTGGTGAGCCCATAAGTGGGATCATTTCAAGTCCACCCTAGTTTGGGGATTTCAGGGGGTGTCGGCCGTTGGGTGGTTCAATGGCCAATTGAGTCATCTTTCCAAGATTCCTTTTGAGTCTCTCTCCCCTCTCCCGGGGAGACCCACGTGACCAGTTTTGGCAGTGAGCAAGTACAAGTAGTACAAGTGTGTGTGTGTGTGTGTGTGTGTGTGTGTGTGTGTGTGTGTGTGTGTGTGTGTGTGTGTGTGTGTGTGTGTGTGTGTGTGTGTGTGTGTGTGTGTGTGTGTGTGTGTGTGTGTGTGTGTGTGTGTGTGTGTGTGTGTGTGTGTGTGTGTGTGTGTGTGTGTGTGTGTGTGTGTGTGTGTGTGTGTGTGTGTGTGTGTGTGTGTGTGTGTGTGTGTGTGTGTGTGTGTGTGTGTGTGTGTGTGTGTGTGTGTGTGTGTGTGTGTGTGTGTGTGTGTGTGTGTGTGTGTGTGTGTGTGTGTGTGTGTGTGTGTGTGTGTGTGTGTGTGTGTGTGTGTGTGTGTGTGTGTGTGTGTGTGTGTGTGTGTGTGTGTGTGTGTGTGTGTGTGTGTGTGTGTGTGTGTGTGTGTGTGTGTGTGTGTGTGTGTGTGTGTGTGTGTGTGTGTGTGTGTGTGTGTGTGTGTGTGTGTGTGTGTGTGTGTGTGTGTGTGTGTGTGTGTGTGTGTGTGTGTGTGTGTGTGTGTGTGTGTGTGTGTGTGTGTGTGTGTGTGTGTGTGTGTGTGTGTGTGTGTGTGTGTGTGTCTGAGGTCTGAGGTGTGTGTGTGTGTGTGTGCATATGGGAGAGTTGCGGTAACAGGATAACGTTCACATGTCCGTGGCGTCCGTGAAAAGCAAGAGGCCAGACCTGTAGGTTCCCTGTGCTTGGTGAAATTCTAGCCTGTTCGTTCTGCGGCGCTCCGTTCTGCGGCGCCTGACAGTACCGTAGCGATCACGTTATCGCCTGACAGTACCGTAGCGATCACGTTACGGTACAACACACAGTAGCCTTCTGCAGCAATATTAATTTTACAGCTCCTGGTTTATGAGTGCTACAAATGTAGTGAGAGCCACGTGCCGGGTGGTTTGGTTTTGATCACATATCCAGTATCCAGAATACTAGTACAGCATGGATCTCCGCCTATTTGTAATAATAACAAGAATCACTTTCCAACACCTCAACAAGTATTAGTTCTGTGCAGATTGGTGGTTGGTGATCACTGGAGTTACGACATCATACAATCATGATCCTTTCTTTCAAATGACAACAGTCGAGCCTCAGCTAGGTGTAATAACTCGCAGCTATGTGTCGATATGCAGCGCGTTGCAGGGCTTATAGCTTACTTGGAACGATTCATCCATTGTATTTCCGAAGTTGGAGTCATTCTCCAGTGTCGGGTAAGGATAGGGCGCTCGCTTGCTCTGCTCCGCTCTCTCATCCATGATAGCAGTGTGTCCGAAGGATATCAGCTCGGGATGATCACTGGTCACTTGGAAATGGAATTAATCAGGGCCTGCCAATCACTCAAAACAGTGTTTGTAGTACCAGCTGAGATGTCTGAGCTCGCTAAGCCTACTAAAGTTTGCAGGGACTGTGCTGCAATAGCCACAGCTCTGTAGAGAATTGATTGCGACTTGGGTACAACAACAACTACCTGAATAGAAGAAGGAATTATTACTGCGTAGAGTTCTTTCGCCTCATGCTCAGTGGATCATGTTAATAATAATTGGGCTACACGTTCAGTGAGGCGGTAAGTCTCACAGCCAATGCCGAGCTACTGCCCAGTTTACTTCTACACCTGTACACGACCGGTCGCCGGCGAGCGAGTCGGTGAGTGACACGACGCTACAGAACGACGTCTGGATCGACTCAGAATGTAGATTTTAGTCAGCATTCAAAATCAAATCAAGATACACACGATCTACGTTACAGTACGTAGGAGGCAAGTACAAGTGCAATGAGCTGCATCCGTGGGCATCGTGGCCATTGACAACGATGAGATTCTCGTTGCCATGAAGACCGTTCCATATCCGACCTACACGTACACAGATACAGTAGCTGTAATACTAGTAGTAATACTAATACATGTACAGTCTGTATCGGCTATAGAGTGACCGGATATAAGAATATATCGGCTACAGTGATATTGGTACTAAATATCAAAAGCAAAACGTATTTTATCCAGTACAAATATCACTATAACCAATATGTATAGATTATAGACCGGTTAGGAGGTCTATACAGGATATATAGACCGAGTAAAAGACCGAGGTCCCCCGAGGTCTTTTACGAGGTCTATATATCCTGTATAGACCAACTATGAGGTCTATAATCTATTTATCGTGTTCTCCACGCAAACGTTTCTCTTCATATACGACATATCCTTGTAATTCTAGTACTATACTATAGCCTATACCGCATTATAATAATGATATATCGGATATTATGATGGCAACAAAGAATCAAAACATGCATAACACACTATATTATTATCGGCTATAGTGATAACTTTAAAATACATGTAGCAATAATATCAAAGGCCCTATTTTTTTACTTTCTTCACGTTGCTTATTTTGATATTGAGACATGTACATGTACATAACAGAATTTTTTTATGGAAATGCGGGCACTGTCAACTATGCAGCATGCTCATTTGTCAAAACGCCATGCTAGCTGGAAGTATTTCCTTGCCTTTCATGTGTCGTTGATAAATATGGTGGTAAAGACACACCTGGCAATATGGCATGTGTCGATCGAAAAAAGAACAAAACCGATCGTATCGCATATAGTGATGCATCGGTTATAGTGATAAAATCACGGAAATCAAAAGGGTACGCTATAGCCGATACAGACTGTACTGTAACACCGGTAGTACTGGTACTACTAGATCTACATGATTGTAGCCAGACAACATAGTACAGTATTAGTATTACTACTGCTACTAGCATTGGCTGTGCATGCCTGGAAAGTAAAAATCGGGATAATCCCGCATTCTTGGATGAACTCCCGCGATCCCGAAATTCCTGTTGATTATCCAGACAATCACTGAACAAGAAACAAGTCTCAGAAGATATTGTGCTTCACTTCAAGTGACTTGTCTAGTCTTCCTTATTGATTCTGTACGGCCATAGCTGTAGCACCAGTGGATCTACCAGTACTCCTTCCATGAACAGTCCCTGAAAAACCTCCGTTTTGAGTTTTGAACATTCGTATAATGTGATCATCACCATCATCTATGACCATGAAGTGTTGGTGCCATCATTAAAAAGAATTTAAAACAGGAATTTTTGAAAAAATATGAGATATCCCGGGAAAAAACCCCAAGGCAAATCCCGGGATTTTGAACTTGACCAGCAGTGCCCAAGCCAAGGCTCAGTGCAAGGCCAGCGCCCCGTCACCATGCCGCTTGACTTCTCAACTGAGTTCAATGTCCACAACGGTCAGTACACGTATTTCGAAGTACACAATCTCCGGACAACTAGCTGGATTTTTAGGTTTCAAACAGTCAAGCACAGAGTCACAGGTGGAACCAAACGCATCGCAATGAGGTCAGATCTCCAGTGAACTAGAAACCTTTTCTGAGCTGGCTCAAAGCATCAAAGGCAGGATCTGCTAATACCAGCACTACTTCCGAAAGTAGTACATAGGACTACAGACACTCACTCAGCACTTCCTTGCCAGCTGACACCGGTCAGTAAACCAAGACATGCTGTACAGGGATGAATCGACTCGCTCAGCCCGCGGCAAGGTAGGAATATTATGAACAAAGGTAGCTAGTAAACGTGTTATAAATTATGGCCTGCGTATTCCTCTACTGCTGACTAGTGCTAAGATGCCAGCGTGCTGCACTAAATGGCTTTGGCAAAGATATCAATAATTATTTAAAAGAACATACAGCAATAATTAACAACATGATAATGGCTGCCATCATGTCATTTTATACTCTGCTTCATAAATTTGTATAGTTAATATTGCGGATTTGTAACTTACTTCGAAGCAGCATATCGTCCTCAAATGCACGGCCACACAATACCTGTATGAACTTGACAAAGTCTCAGAGTTCCAAACTAGTCTCTATCCAGACATCAATAACCAATACTCACTTTCCCACTACCGACACAGGCTGTTCCCGGACAACACCGGCGCCTATAACAGTCACTCGCTGTATATTCTGCCTTCCTCTTCGTCTGCTGACTGAGCCAAACCAAGAAGGGTTACAGGCTCCTGTGGTACATCGTCATCCTCCCCATCAGCCTCTTCATCTCCGTGGTCCTTGTTAGCTACATCACTGGACAGCTGACTGGAGGCATTTGCATCAGGCATTGCTGCAGCACTGCCATTAGATGGAGTGTTGGATGCCGTGCCGCCCTGCTGTGATTCTCCAACATCTAGGGTACCCATTAGTTCGGCAAGCTTGTTTGCCTTACGCAACTCAGTCTGTTCTATGATGGTCATGAGGTGCTCCATGAGCAACTCCTTCTGCTCCCCGCATCGGTGCAGGGTTACCTTTGCGCTCACAAATTCAGCTTCGGCGGCATCATAGCGTTGCCTAAGAACAAAACAGATATGACCACCATTTACATGACAGTATACGGTGGTGTGCACAGAGTTAAAGGGGAAGTTAAGGCAAAAATAAAAATTTCACCAGTTGTAGTCTTCGGGGTGCTGAGTCGAATGGTCTTGGTCCGAGAAAGCTGAGACGCTCCCTTCCTACTTGAATCCCAATCGAACTCGCGCACTTCCACCGAAACTGGGTGACTGCGCCCTACTAGATGGGGATTTGTATGCAAAATGTCACTAAAAGCGCCATTTCGTTCTTATAAAAGCACGGATGACCGCGATTGGCCCATATGCTGTAGTCTTTTGGACGCTGAGTCGACTGGTTTTGGTCCGAAAAGGCTGCGATGGAGCGTTCCTCCTTTACTCCCAATCGAACATGGTTGAACAAGCGGTCACGTGCTCCTGCGTACACCAGTCACCTGGTCACCGTGCCTGCAGGGTACAACTTACTAGCCTGTTTGACCTTTTTTGGGTGCAGTCCTGTCACTCGAGTTGAACTCAAGTTGAACCTTGGTGTGAAAGTTGTCGCCTGCTGGCGTGGTGACCAGGTGATTTGGGCACCCAGGAGCACGTGACCGCTTGTTCAACCATGTTTGATTGGGAATAAAGGAGGAACGCTGCATCGCAGCCTTTTCGGACCAAAACCAATCGACTCAGCGTCCAAAAGACTACAACATATGGGCCAATCGCGGTCATCCGTGCTTTTATAAGAACGAAATGGCGCTTTTAGTGACATTTTGCATACAAATCCCCATCTAGTAGGGCGCAGTCACCCAGTTTCGGTGGAAGTGCGCGAGTTCGATTGGGATTCAAGTAGGAAGGGAGCGTCTCAGCTTTCTCGGACCAAGACCATTCGACTCAGCACCCCGAAGACTACAACTGGCAAAATTTTTATTTTTGCCTCAACTTCCCCTTTAAGAAGAACGTTGCAGTGTTATCACCACATTTTCCAGCATTCTGGGCAGCCTTGGTGTGTAAAATGCATCTTGATGTGCCTGAGTTTGAGGGGGGGGGGGGGGGGGCATTCAAGACTCAAACTAAACTACAATTCAGTGCAGTGGAATAGTAGAAATGTCTGCCATGATATAGGTGATACTTTGCAGTTGCAGTCTGGCTACAGGCAGTACGACTTGGGAAACACAGTTTTGTTCCTTGTCCTCAGGTTTGCTCCGAGTTTCAGATATCACGGTATTTCAAGGAGCCTGAAGGGCCAGAACAATAATAACTACTTGCACTTACTGAGCTTCGTTGAATGCTGCATTAGCTTCTTCAATCTTCTCACGCAGTACTGATACATCGGTGGAGACAATGTTGTCAAGTCGAGACAGCTCCTTCTGAACTGTAGTCAGCCGCTGTGTCTCCTTCTGAGCTTCCTCTTTCCTGCAATGCATACAAAGCATGGGATGATGGGCAGAAGACAAGTTTACTGCGTACATTCATTTCAGGACAGTAATTCGTACGATAGTCTCACAAACACAGCTCCCGCCAGAGGAGCCCAGGATGTTCTACACAAGGTGGGAGCATTGACAAACTGGGGTACATTAAAACCTACCAAGGCGACCACCTCGATAAGATGACCACCTGTCCCAGAGGACTAGTGCAACTTTGACCAAGGGATGCTATTTTCCATCAAATGACCCTGGATAAGCCGAAGGGAAACTAGGCTGTACCCGGGGATCCCATGGTCCACTAAACGGCCGGCTAAGATAGGTCTCATTGGACAAATCACTGGAAACAGGGTGACTTCTTCAAAAATAAGAAAAGGGAAAAGTGTCCTTTGTGTCTGCCTGCCGATTTTAGGCTTATGCTGTATGCACGTACAGCATGCTCTTGAAACGAAACAGCTGGTTGGGATGGGTCGGCTGAAGGACAGTGTGGCCTTCTTGAGTGAGTCTCCACTGCTCCAATGCTGAAGTCCTCGCCTCCCCCCCCCCCCCCACACACACACACACCGTAGTGTTCACTTCTCCAATATTGAGACGCAATGAACACGTGAAGTTTACGCACTATGCTTGTTGTTGCAAGCAATCATAGGTAAGCTACCACTGTGGAGGGGAGAGTACACCAGAGCAGACCAGGGGCTCCAGAAGAAGCGAAAGGTGGTTCTTTGAACATACATGGGCTGCCCTGCTGGCAGGCACAAAGCCATCACCCATCAGCTGCGGAAGTACGGTACTTTCCCCAGTATAAGTCACACCTCTTTTTCCCGGGCAAAGAAGGGGTGGGTGGGGGACAGTCCGACTTACAATCGAGTGTTACATCTTATACACGCGAACATATTGAAACAATATGGCTCAGACCTGAAAGGGGTGGGGTGGGGGTGGGGTGTGTGTGTGGGGGAGGGGGGGGGGGGGGGGGTCCGACTTATGATCAGGGCAATCCAGTAAATGCTCCGGCTACTGACAGTGTCACCTCCTGTCGTATTAAAATTTTGCAAATCTACTTCTTTGGTTCTTTCACTAGTGATCTTTCTCCGGCAGACACCATATCCGTTGCCAACATCACCACATGCTCTCTTCCCACAAGTTGCCTGTTTCATTTGGTGATTTTCCTGATTATAGTGTCCATGATGGACTGAGAATGCTTGGATTCACTGTGACCTTCATTCAGTGACAGTAGCTGGTTAAAGTGGAGCTATGACTGTGACAAACACAACCCCGTGGCAATTTTTACATGTACAGGGATGTGCATAGTGCCTTGAACAATGGCCGCGGGCCGTGGCAAGGAGTTTTCCACATGAGAAAGAAATTTAGTCTTCAGCTAAATCCAACGGCAAATACTGCCGACCAATCCAACTACTAGTATTCAGGAGCACATCATCACGACTTGAACACACAGTTTTATGAGACATCAGTGCAATGTTTTGTACAGGAAATATTTCAATGCAGCCCCACTGTTGGGATAAAAATCATAACTAAGTCATCAGTCTGACTTACCGCAGAGCAATGGTCTGCTGTAGCTGCTTCTTCTTCTCCAAATTTACTTTTTCGAGCTCCTTCTGTTGTTTGTGGAGTTCCTCGAGACGGCTCTTCTTCATACTGCAGCAAATAGACCGAAAGCACAGACTGGCTCATTACACTGTCAACTACTTTATGACATGTGCACTCTACCAAGGCCACACCAGGAGTTTTGGAGAGAGGAGGGAGGGGGGGGGGGGTGTGTTACAAGTTATACTTACCCAGTCACTATTTTCAGCTGTATATGTACCTGCGTATCTGTAGCGTTATCTTACAGTCATGTGACTACAGCCTCCATTCAGAAAAGGATGGACTTCTAGCTTTTGGCCATAAATGGGTCAAACTTTGAGTTTTTTAGAATTTTTTCTGCAATCCCCTATGGAATCCTCTTCCAATTATGTTTCTGAAGTTTTTTTGTCCAAAAAGCAAGCCATAACAAGAATAGGATTTCGGCCAGGTTGTGCCCCCAAAGCATTGAATTGGGAAATACCAAAAAATCCAGGCCGTTTGACCCCGTCTGCAACAGTGCATTGTGCGGTTCGAACCCCAGTTAAGGTACCCTTTTCGAACCCTTTTTCAAATTTCGCAGCACTGCACTATGTACGATGAAATCACGTAAAATCGCCAAATACGGGAGCTCGCCAGATCCAATCTTTTTATGAATGGACTGTAGATGCATGACGGCCATGCATACGTGTACGCTGATATCATGCCTCTCATCCTGATCCACATACAAGTTCTAGCATTCCGTTTCTCCTTCCCTCTCTAGCCTGTACATGTAATGTAAACTGCCTAATATTCGCGACGGATTAATGTTCGCTATTTTCGCGAGAAGAGCGTAACGCGAAAATTAACCATCGTGAAATCGAACTTCAACAGTGGGTGTATGTAAGTGGCCCCTGTGCTTCGCGAACTCGCTGGTTCTAAGAAACCGCGAAAATTTAGTGACACGGATATTGTGCGGTTTACAGCATGTACAGTACAGTCAACTTCGCTTATAACGACACTCGGCGGCGGGGCATCAAAAAGGTGTCCTTATTCGCGAAGTGTCGTTATTCCCGAAGTCTCATTATATTATGTATTACAGTGGGATGGGACTTTGCTCTGGGCATGGAAATTCTGTCGCTATTCGCAAATTGTAGTTATATCCGCAGTCGTTATTAGCGAAGTTGACTGTATAATTTATGTGTTCTAGGTTCTTTGTCCTATGGTAGTACAATGGTTAGAACTAAGCTCTTGATTCTCTGGTTGGTCTGGTTAGACTAAGTTCAAAGCACTATAATTAAGGTGGCAGCGGTCCAGAAGCCATGTCTTCTTCCGACCCCAGCTCAGTTCTGGTCGCTTCCCGCGGATCTTCCCCAGACGGCGGCGGAGGCAGCTCCTCTGGTGGAGCGCCAACTATGTCTTCTTCGGCGCCCGAGCACCAGGTTTCTCTTCCGTGGATGGTTCACCTCTCACAGGTGTCCCCTCCATCATCGTTCAATTTCCACCCTGCAGATCAGCGGGACTGCTGGCTGCGTCGTTTTAACCGCAATCGTCAGGCGTCTGGCCTTCACACCCAACCGGAACCGGTACAGGTGAACTCCCTCATCCACACGATGGGCGAGCAAGCTGACCATCTACTGGACAGTTTTCAAGTACCTGTGGATGACGTGAGTAAGTTCACCCCACGGTCACAGAGCATTTCACTGCGCACTTTGGCAAGAAGAGGAATTTATGTGTGTGTGGACGTGCAAGGTTCCACCAGCCCACAGAGTCACTGGATGACTTTTTGAATGAGCTCTACCGCTTGGCAGATAGGTGCAATTCCAAGGCTATGCATGATGAGATGCTCCGCGACCGTTTGATCGCAGGGTTAGCGGAAGCCCGTCTTTCTGAACGCCTGCACCTGGATTCAGATATGACACTGGAAAAGGCCCTCGCTCAAGCTCGTCAAAGCGCTGCCATCAAGGAGCAACAAACGACGGTTTGTGCAGCTACAGACTCGAGCTCTGATATCACTGCTGAGTTTCCTGACCTGTTCTTAGGCCTTGGTCCCGTTGGTCATCTACACACAATGCATCATTGCTATGACGCTCACCATGCTCGCAATCCACTCCCCGGTGAGTTGCTCTGCTCATGGAACCCAAGGTCATGGACACCCGCCGCCGTCGCATGGAAGACTCTGGCATCATTTGCCAGGTGTCCGAACCGACGGATTGGTGTGCCAGTATGGTCGTTGTGCCGAAGCCAAATGGTGGCGTGCGCATCTGCGTTGATTTCACATGGCTCAACAAAGCAGTCAAACTGGAACGACACATTCTCCCCATCACAGACCATCTTCTCGCTCGCCTGAATGATGCCAATGTGTTCTCAAAGTTGGACGCTAACAGCCAAATTCCGTTGGCGCCGGAGTAGCAGCTTCTCACTACATTCATCACGCCAACCGGCAGATTATGCTCTACGCGGCTCCCCTTTGGTATCTCCTCGGCACTCCTCGGCACCGAAGTACTTTCAAAAGCAGATGACGGATCTGCTCAGCGCGCTCCCTGGCAACATCTGTATGATGGACGATGCCCTCATATTCGGCTCCACCCTTGAGGAGGAGGTGGGCAACCTTCGGCCAGCCCTGTCTCACCTTCAATCCGCCGGTGTCACCCTCAACAGCAAAAAGTGCCAGTTTCATGCCACCTCGATCAACTTCCTGGTCCCATCGATGACTGTGGCATCCATCCAGATGCGGACAAAATCCACGCAACTCGGGATCTTCCTCTCAAAACACTACAATATCCATATCTTCTTAGCAGTAAAGATGTCGAACCTACCTTATGCCAATAAGTGTAGTTGCAGGGATCATTGTGCAAATCAAACTGCACGGTGTGTGTGTGTGTGACCTTGATAATTCACACGTCTCTGACTTCACACCTTTCTCACGCTCGCGTGCACACACACACACACACACACACACACACACACACATATACACACATGCTAACACGCCCGCGCGCGCGCGCACACACACGTTTTACGCCTTGTCCGCGCTGTGCCCCGGGCTGTGTTCTTGTCACCCACTTGCATAATTATGCTATTAATTTCATTCCCAGCTCTGTTGACTCGCTTTCTCCGCCTTACTTTCCCTAAACAATCCTTGTTGTGCTGGTAGCACAGGATGCCAGGATGGTGGATTCTGTGGAGTGTGAAATGTGTGCTATTTGTGTTCAAGCATTTTTGTCTCCAAGAAAACTTTCAATTGTGTTCCCTGTATAATATTACCACTATACGTATGAGAGCCACCATACTAGTTAACTGTTAGGGTGTCAGTTTAGAGGCGATTTACACGACTGCAAGATTCATCCTGGGCGTGGTGCTGCCATGGAGATTCAGTCACGTGAACTCGAATTTTGGCGCAAACGTATCCCGCGAGCTATCTCGGCACGGCACCGATACCGTGAGGGAGCTGGGGGATGGGGGATGCATGCCGTGGCATTCCGTGGACTGTTTTCGTACTACAGGTACTGTACGTGCATCCTGCCGTGTGAATCGATTTTCGTTTTTCCCCGTATCACGGCAAGCTCTTGGGATCACGTGCTTCACTTCCCGGCGGGATGCATGGCCGTCGTGTTAATCGCCTCTATCATCTCTGAGTCTATGGGTGCATGCAGCGTACACACCTTTGGAGTTCATCGTCCGTGCATAATCGAACTTCTATCTCAGCATCTCCCTCTGTTGATCCAGAACTACGTTTTCTTGATAAGGTTGGTGCGCTTGACGAGGCTGTTGCTGCTGCCATACTAGTGCTTGCAGCGTCTACACTGGACACCGAGCCCTCACTGGATACGACTCGAAGCTTTGTTGAACTGGAGGCAGCCACGGGTTGTTCGGGTGACGAGCGCTCGCTATCTGTGTACGGCCTTGCGGCGCTGGCTGATTTGGCAGCAGGCCGTGTGCGCGATGCTGCCGTCTTTCTGTTCTGCTTTTTTGCCAGTTGCGACGATTTCGCCTTGCCAGTATAGCTATGTACAACTACGCTACTGCCTTTCAGCCTCTGAAGATCAGCATCGCTAAATCCCTCCCAAGATGCCATGGTCATGCCGGACTAAACGGCAGCTCTTCAGCAGGCATACTACAAAAGTGTTCATCTAGTACCTTCCTTAGCATTGGAGGTTCTAATTATATTATTAAATTTTCTTCTTTGTGGAAATATCATACAATCATGTAAGCTATAAGTACAGTAGATTTGCAAGGCCAGGGGATCTGCGGATTGTCGACATGTCATTCAAATGAAAAAAACAATGATTGTTTCTGTGCCTGTACAGTGCACTATGTACATGTAGCGGGGGAGTGTAGGCTGTAGCCTGTAGGCGTAGCTGTACTTGCGCTGCATGCACTGACTACGGCTTATAGCTAGGCTATGCCTATGACTACGTTGTAGTCGACTGTGCTGTTGGCGTGACCTGTCATATCAACCCCGATTCGTAGATCTACGATCTGAAAAATCGTACAGTGAAGAAAGAAATGTCGTATCTACCGCAGGCCGGCCCATACCTGCATACGGCCATAGTTGATCGATGGTGATCTGGTGATCATTCATGGTGATAGCGATGAAATTTTCTCCAAGAAAATAATTGGTACTACAGTAGTACAGTATAGTGATAGCATCGACGTTACGTACACCAGGTACACGTACCAGTTCCCAACGTCAGTCTAGTACTGAAGTCTGAAGTAGGAGATCTACTCATCACTGACATCAGTAGAACATCACCAAAACACAGAACAGTCGCGAGTCCGGTAGTCTGTAGTCTGTAGGATAAGACTGAATGTTTGCTTGAACTAACGTGTTACTTGAAGACATGTAAACAGCGGTGAGATCACCAGACGCTAGTAGTAGCAGAGAATCGGTGGCGAAGGAAAAATCTCTGCGACTGTTGAGCAGCGCAGCGCACCGCACAGTCTCCTGCATGCTAATATCATGTCTGAGGAAGAAGAAGAAGACCCACAATTAGCCAGTCCTGGAAATCACGAGATCATCGTCATAGCCGCACTGAGAGGTAAGAAGCACACAGTTGCCGGAATGTGACAATAGACATGTCGGTCTCTAGCTCTCTGCGCTAAGTAACGCTCCAAGCACATCCTACAGTCATTCCACTGGGACTTCAGACTTCAGTGCATGCTACTCAACGGAATCACTAACCGGAGAATACCGGTGATAACTGCATGCCACGTACACTCAGTATCGCCTATAAGGTTGGCGGCTATAGTAGTATACCGGCTATAGTGATCAACTACTTGACTTCTCAAATTCATTTTCATTTGCCATAACAAAGTACAGTTACCGCGCATAGTAATATATCGCCTATATTGATCAAATTCATATTTCAAAAGACCTTTATAACATTATTTTTGCATCGGTTATAGTGATTGATGTATAATCAAGTGGTGTCAGAGGAGAACAGGGTGCTACATCTTCGTGAAGAACTTGTCCAGTGTTGTGTGGTGAGTTCTGCTTGGATGTACAAGTATTAGTTGCCAAATATGCCTCCATCGTGAGGAAATGCTGATGTTGTGTGTCAGGAGCTGTAGCCAGCTATGCAGTGCGTGTGTGCACGGCATGCTGAGTCATTTGACACCCCTCTCGCATACATCATTGCATGCAGTATCGGCCATAGGAATATACTGTAAAGCGTGAAATTTTCGCGGCGTTTTTAGTTCGCGTTTTCAGAATCCGGACAGGTTTGCGAGGCTTTAATTTTGCAATTGCAGAATGGCATTCTTGCTTAAAGGGGAAGTTAAGGCAAAAATTAAAATTTCACCAGTTGTAGTCTTCGGGGTGCTGAGTCGAATGGTCTTGGTCCGAGGAAGCTGAGACGCTCCCTTCCTACTTGAATCCCAATCGAACTCGCGCACTTCCACCGAAACTGGGTGACTGCGCCCTACTAGATGGGGATTTGTATGCAAAATGTCACTAAAAGCGCCATTTCGTTCTTATAAAAGCACGGATGACCGCGATTGGCCCATATGTTGTAGTCTTTTGGACGCTGAGTCGACTGGTTTTGGTCCGAAAAGGCTGCGATGCAGCGTTCCTCCTTTATTCCCAATCGAACATGGTCAAACAAGTGGTCACGTGCTCCTGCGTACACCAGTCACCTGGTCACCGTGCCTGCAGGGTACAACTTACTAGCCTGTTTGACCTTTTTTGGGTGCAGTCCTGTCACTCGAGTTGAACTCGAGTTGAACCTTGGTGTGAAAGTTGTCGCCTGCTGGCGTGGTGACCAGGTGATTTGGGCACCCAGGAGCACGTGACCGCTTCTTCAACCATGTTCGATTGGGAATAAAGGAGAAACGCTACATCGCAGCCTTTTCGGACCAAAACCAGTCGACTCAGCGTCCAAAAGACTACAACATATGGGCCAATCGCGGTCATCCGTGCTTTAATAAGAACGAAATGGCGCTTTTAGTGACATTTTGCATACAAATCCCCATCTAGTAGGGCGCAGTCACCCAGTTTCGGTGGAAGTGCGCGAGTTCGATTGGGATTCAAGTAGGAAGGGAGGGTCTCAGCTTCCTCGGACCAAGACCATTCGACTCAGCACCCCGAAGACTACAACTGGTGAAATTTTAATTTTTGCCTTAACTTCCCCTTTAACCTGTGGCATTCTTGCTAAACCTTTCATGGATCTCCTTTTCACGCTGTCTAAATTTTGCGATTTCCACGCGGTCGCGAATTTCGCAGAAATTAGACCATCGCAATAATTTCACGGTTTACAGGATCGCTTATAGTGATAAAATGCTCAAAATCAAATACCAACGCTTTAGGCGATACTGATTGTAATTAGTTCCAGGGAGTCATGGTGGGGGGGGGGGGGGGGGGGGCGCGCGAACGGGACGCGAAGACATAATCATTGCTAAACATCCCATTTTATCTAATCACCAAATATGGCCAGGGTTCTGGGCAACGAAAAAATTGCAGTGGGGGGGGGGGGGTGGGGGGCAGGGGAAAACAAACACTAACCAGTTCACCCATTTTTCCAGGTTCCACGATTGCCTTGTTACAAAAATGCAACATACAAATCTATTCTCTCCAACTCCCCATTACTTTGGTCTTGTCTCCATAGGCGGGAAGAAGTCACACTCATTGACAGTGACCTCTCCATTGTCGACATCATGGCCAGAAATTCAGCAGCAACTGGTGACAGCGTTCGATGTAGAAAAGGAGTAAGTACTGATCTCTCGCTGAAACTATCTAGGCGGCAGTATTGGATGTGTGCACACGAGCAACCCAAACTGCATTATATTATGTGTGAGAAGAAGAGAGGACCAAAGAGCTACAAGTTCCTCTATATTCTCCACTAACACCACCAGTTACTTTACATTCAGCTCATGCGATAACATTGCACGACACTGACCAACGGTACTGACGTTCTACACTTAACTGGCAATTAGCTCCAGCACGCCGTGGATGCGTAACTTGTAGCTCTTTGGTCCTCTTTTCTTCGTATACATTAAGCCTTGGCTCTCCACCCGAGTCTAAATGTTGTGTGGAGTGTTCCCGGGCATTGCATGCATTGCATGCAGCTTACATAGCGAATGCCGCGGGCATTGTGTATAATTATCATCGTTAGACGCGGGTGGAGAGCCAACGATTAATTTATAAGAAGAAGAGAGGACCAAAGAACTACAAGTTACCGCAAGAACCAGCAAGTTATCGCATGAGCTGATTGTCAAGTAACTGGTGGTGTTAGTGGAGAATATAGCGTAACTTGTACTTAGTAGCTCTTTGGTCCTCTCTTCTTCTTATAAATATATCATGGTGTTTCAAGTTGAGTGATGAAATTGAGTGTGCTGGCTATTGCTGGAATGGATTAGTACACAGTGTAAGCACCGCTACCTACACTACAGAATGTGATATGGCTCTGGACACACATTCCTGAGAGAATATTGATGCTTATGCAGGAATCAATTCTAGAGGACGTTGATGGGAAGTATGTATCGGAGTGTTGCTTTCCGGACTCCCATTGGTTGGTATTGTTCTCATCCGTCTATCTGCTCGGTGGTCCTCTGTTCATGCAAGTGCAACGTGCTGCCTTTGTGTGTGTGTGTGGGGGGGTGCGGGCGTGCGGGCATACCTGTCTGTCTGTTTGTATGTATGATTGTATGTATGCATGTATGTGTGTTTGTGGTGTGCTTTCAGTCATGTGGCATTCACATACAGCATAGATCCAGAGTTCCTAGCTCGCCCCAGCCTGTACACGTTCCAATGCTTTGGTCTGACGTTCGAGACAGATTGGAGAGCGGCGACGGTCACAGCAGTTAGCATTCCCGAACGATGTCTTTACGTGCTAGTGGAGGAGCTGAGACCAGGTTAGTTAGCAAAAGATACTTTGAGATGCACACCGAGTCCCACTGAGGGGAATTTTGTTGCAACCCTCTAGCAACACCAACTGCTGCCAGCGAGCAACCCGCTACACCCCGCCAACACCAACTGCTGCCAGCGAGCAACCCGTTTAAAAAAAGGAATTCTACTTGTAGCGTTAGACTCAGCCTTCAAGGCAAAATACACCAGTGGACATCATGACCATATTATATTGACTAACCCTTCCTTGATTTAATTAATAATACAATGTGTTCTCGGATGGAGAGCCAATGATTAATTTATAGTTTAAAAAAAAGGACCAAGGAACTATAAGTTACGCTACAATATCCACTAACACCACCATCGCATGTTATCGCATGAGCTGATTGTCAAATAACTGGTGGTGTCGGTGGACATTATCGCGTAACTTGTAGTTACTTGGTCCTTTTCTTTACTACGATGCGTTCTGATTTCTTTATTCTGTTCTGCATTGCTTGCCTGTTTGTACTCACAGCCACGGATCTTATTGCATCCATGAGGAGGTTTTCAGTAAGGGCGGAGACAGATGGTGGTCATCGCGGTGGTGCACGGCCCAGAAGGTTTGAACGTGCCAACTCTAGCTCCACGTGGGAATTCCTTGACGCCGACACGGCCGGTGTTCGGCAACTCTGGAAGCTGCTACCATCGCTGAAAGTAGTGCCATTTGCATCGCTGCTATTGTGGCATGAGTCTATGAAGAGTGACCAGTTGAACACATGGTTCAGTTCTATTGCAAATAGTGTTCCGTTTCAAGAGTTTGAGTGGCCAACATACTTGGACAAGAAGAGACGGCTGGTCCGTGAGCCCGAGCTGCGGCTTCGAGTCTTCTATGGCGGTGTTTGCCCTGAACTGCGTCGCACTCTGTGGAGACACCTTCTGTACGTCTTCCCGCCAAAGCTGACCTGGAAGGAGCGCTACGAGTACTTGGAGGCGCAGAGAGCCGACTATGCGCGCTTGAAATCAGCATGGCAGTCCACAATCGATGAGCAACCACCCGAGGTGCAGTCGGTCCTCACGAGCATTCGCCACGATGTTATTCGCACGGACCGCGAACGCACATCCTTTGCCAGTGCAAGCAGTCCCAACCTGGAGAGTCTCTACAACATTCTGGTCACCTACGTCCTGTCCAATCCCGAAGCGACGTACGTTCAGGGTATGAATGAGTTTGCCGCCGTATTTCTTGAGGTCTACTCTGGCTCGGGTCAGCATTGCGAAGCCGATGCATACTGTTGCTATGCAGCCTTTCTGAGGCTAGTGCCGGCTCTGTTTGATATGCAAGGCCTTGCTCTCAAGTTCTCGCACTTCCATGCTTTGCTGGAGCGGTATGACGCCACTCTTTTCGAGCACTTGCAGCGCAACAACTGCACAAGCCTGATTTTCTGCTCACCGTGGCTTCTCGTGAACTTGAAGCGTGAGTTCTGCCACGAAGATGTGTTGCTCTTGTGGGAGGTGATGTGGAGTACGCTAGCGCCTCCCGACACGTACATGAAAAAGTTGGATGATAAGCGCCGTCGTCAGCTAAAGCCTTGTGGCGGTGGCGGCGACAGCACCAGCAGTGCACCCGACCAGGAAGAATTATTTGAGCACCCGGCAAGGGAAGTAGAGGGTGCTTGGCTTCGTGCCAGCCAGATCGAAGATGGTACGCCTGCAGAGATGCTCTCGTCGGGCGATCTTCCCCCAGCAATTAACTCGCTAGCACTGGCAGAGGCAAGGCATGCCCCTGAAGAAGAGCATGCAGCGGAAGCAGCAGCAGCAACAGCAGCAGAAGAGGCGGATGACGTGTTCATGGCTGTGTCGCCATTCAACATTGCTATCTCAGACAGGATTGGTCTGCAGAGAAACTATGGCAACCTGTTAGTCCTGTTCATCTCCGTGGCAATGGTGAGTAACAGCCGTGAGGACCTGCTGAGCACTGTACCGTCTGAGGAAAGCCTAGCTATACACTTCAGTCAGAAGAAAGGGCTACATGACGTGCAAGCTATGCTAACGCAAGCCCGCCACTTAATGGAAGACTTCATAGCGCGGAATGATGAGAAGTTTTTTGTTGAGGGCTAGCATATTGTTGCATGTGCTTCTTGATTTCTTACTAGGAAGTACGCCTCTTTGCAGAAAGCTTTCTTCAAGCTTCCACTGTATTTTTTCTCAAACACACCAGATCGACATTTTCAACCCCAACAGTCGAAATTTTAGTAATTCCTAAAGCCGGGACCAATGTTTCCTGGCGAATTTCCTCTTCAGCCGACTTGAAAGATTTTTGGCATTCATTATTTAATTTCTGCAACCAAGTATTTATCTGGACGGTATCACATCAAAGATGACGACCCCTTGAGACCATTGCAATAGACTGTGACAGGCAGTACTGCAACCTAATAAACTGTAGTGTTAACATGGCGGTAACCGGCTATGTTATTGTTTCGTCAATGCATCTGAGTGAGCCGATGCTTACGGGTTAGCCAAAAACATATTCGCACGTTTCTTGTGAACAGCCATACCGGTCAAATTGTGTGTGTGTGTGTGTGTGTGTGTGTGTGTGTGTGTGTGTGTGTGTGTGTGTGTGTGTGTGTGTGTGTGCGTGTGTGCGTGTGTGTGTGTATGTGCAACGAGTACAAAGCATGTGTACCCTTTCCTTGAGGAGTGCCCGTGAACGAGAAGACGGTATGACAATAGCCCATGTAATGATAATTTGGTCAAAGCCCGTTCAATGATACTATTGATAGGTATGGACATAGCCCATTTCTTCTTTGGTCCTTCACACACTCGACCAAAATTCCCATCAGCTAGGCAGTGGCCTGCACAGTGACCTGTGCATGTGCAAAGCGTGTTGTTGATGGGTCCTCCCACAGTCAAGCAGCTCTACTTCGATTCAATAAGGAATGTCTTGCCGGGGCACAGTGCTGTGGTATAATTTTGAAATGTTCTTTCCAGAGCCAAACAGCTAGAACGACCAAGACTGAAAGAATAATATTCTTCCTGTATTTTGTCTATTGTTGCGCATCGTGTCCATTTGCTCATACTGTATCAAATTCACAATAAAGTGCTGGTAAAGTAAACATACTAGCACAAGTATGTGAATACAGCTTGTCCTCCTCGTTGCGATGCTAAAATTACACTCTACCATCGCCATTACTTCAAGACTGAAGTCCATGTATAATGATTCCATATCCGTATACAATGAAGGCTGCAACTCCTGCTGCATGATCTCATGATCTTGCAATAATATTACACGATCAATTTGACGAAGGTCTGATTACTAACTGGTGCGAAAGCAAGAATGACACGGGCTACCAGCGGGTGTCTCATCCTCGAACTCTTCTTTAATTTATAAAATTTAATGAGTCCGAAAATAGCAATTTTCAAATAAAATGCACATCCGAGTGCATGAGCATATTGATGCTTGAGCTGGCTAGGTCAAGGTAAATAACTTATAATACAAGTACTTCAGTACGATCAAGAAATAGTTCTAGCCTACGGGATGGGAACTATGTGCAACTGGGCCAGTGGCTAGAAGTAGAAGCTCAATGTCACCGCTACGGTATACTCTACAGGACCGGCGGAAGCAGTTATTGATTGGTCCAGCCTTACCCTAGCCTTTTATGCAGTTTGTGTATATCATGTATATGGCGGGCCAGTATACACATGACCTCCTCAGCAGTAAACATAGGTTAGTGGCCAAGACGTTGGTCCGGCCATGGCCTGAGCGACCGGACCGGTTCCGCCGGGCCTGCTTCAGTCAGAAAATACTACAGTCAAGCGGCGCATCGACACTGTCAGTCATCCCGGCACATTCTCAATCAGTATCATGCGGTGGGTCGATGGCGCGCGCAATGTTCTTCAGTGCTTCCAGAGGGGCGTTCTCCACGTCCTCGTAAGTCAGATAGTCCCGGTCAGGCGACTTTATCTCCAGCCACAGCTGAGCAGAAGAAGAGCAAGGAATGAAGCGGGTCAGCACACACCATGACTGTGTTTGTGCACCTTGGTCATCACCACACTGATCATGTTAGAATCTACTGCCGGGTGGTTGAAAGAGGAACGTCGCCGCAATCCATCCGCCCACACAAACACACCAGGGATACTCGAGAGGGGCGTCTAATCGAGTGAGTACAGTATGTTAGCACAATATCTGAGGACAAAGATATCTAGAGATGATAATGCAGAGGGACGTCGTCCATGCAAGCACAGATGCATTGGCATTGCAATTGTGCACATCTGCTGGCCAACATGATGTGGCTCTAACTCAACTACATTGTCCTCCATAGTGCGACTTCCAAATGCTTACCTTCGCGCTCATAGCATCGGTTGCAAATTCATTGGCCTCGCTTCGCAGATCCTGTGTGCACGCATGTAGCACAAGCAAGCAGCACCAAGTAGAATGGCACGCATGTGTGGACTGCACATAAACAGCTATGCATCAAAGTAGATGTGTGGGCTGTACATAAACAGCTATGCATCAAAGTAGATATGTGGGCTGTACATAAACAGCTATGCATCAAAGTAGATATGTGGGCTGTACATAAACAGCTATGCATCAAAGTAGATGTGTGGGCTGTACATAAACAGCTATGCATCAAAGTAGATATGTGGGCTGTACATAAACAGCTATGCATCAAAGTAGATATGTGGGCTATACATAAACAGCTATGCATCAAAGTAGATGTGTGAACTGTTCATAAACAGCTGCTAGTATGCATCAAAGTAGAGTGAGTGGACTGTACAGGAACACCTGTGTAGCACAGTGGACTTGGTATGTCGTGAAGACCAGGGGCACATATTATGCAATACGCATGTTGTGGCGTGCTCAAATGTGCTCGGTACGTTTCACAGTGCATGTAGCATTACGAAGCATCAGCTCATCTCGATAGTACTGCACGCGCACAGATCTTACATCGGTGATGATTTCCATGAACAGTTCCCTGGAAATTGCAGCATTGTGTGTCAACTGTCTGAAAAGGCTTTCCCTGCAGCAACAATCATCCAAGTGCAAACGAGCGGCAAGACAACACTCACACAGAGCCATAGTTAAAATTTTATTGTATTGATGCCGTATTCTCGGGAGTATCGACTACAGTTACCCAAGGCTTCCTCGAAAATGCACGTGACGGTGTCGTACTCTGGTGGTTGTTCAACACCAGTATGGGGAACACCAGTATGTTCAACACCAGTATGTTCAACACCAGTATGTTCAACACCAGTATGTTCAACACCAGTATGGGGAACACCAGTATGTTCAACACCAGTATGTTCAACACCAGTATGTTCAACACCAGTATGGGGAACACCAGTATGTTCAACACCAGTATGGTTGCTCACTCGCACACTTTTAAAAACAAGACGACAAAGACCGGACATGTATGACATGTATGACATGTATGACATGTATGACATGTATGACATGTATGACATGTATGACATGTATGACATGTATGACATGTATGACATGTATGACATGTATGACATGTATGACATGTATGACATGTATGACATGTATGACATGTATGACATGTATGACATGTATGACATGTATGACATGTATGACATGTATGACATGTATGACATGTATGACATGTATGACATGTATGAAACACCTAAGAGTTGCTTTCAGAGATGTCCGTCTTGTTTTCCCCGGCCATCGTCTGCAACCGAGGCTGTAATGCACATTTGGGCGTGATGTTGCCAAGTACAACAATGTGCAAGGGGTGCTACGCTGCGAGCATGCATGTACACTGCAAGCATGCATGTACAGTCAGGCCTCGCTTATCCGGTCCTCTTTTATCCGGATCCCTCGCCATCCGGAAGAAAATAGCTGGTTACAAATTTACAGCATCCATGGTACATCCAACATAACCAGTGTTCGGTTATCCGGTTCCCTCGCCCATCCGGATATTTTTGTGGAAAACGGATGTGTGCGGTTAAACGAGGTCTGACTGTACACTGCAAGCATGCATGTACACTGCAAGCATGCATGTACACTGCAAGCATGCATGTACACTGCAAGCATGCATGTACACTGCAAGCATGCATGTACACTGCAAGCATGCATGTACACTGCAAGCATGCATGCTTGCAGTGTACATGCATGCTTGCAGTGTACACTGCAAGCATGCATGTACACTGCAAGCATGCATGTACACTGCAAGCATGCATGTACACTGCAAGCATGCATGTACACTGCAAGCATGCATGTACACTGCAAGCATGCATGTACACTGCAAGCATGCTTGTACACTGCAAGCATGCATGTACACTGCAAGCATGCATGTACACTGCAAGCATGCATGTACACTGCAAGCATGCATGTACACTGCAAGCATGCATGTACACTGCAAGCATGCATGTACACTGCAAGCATGCATGTACACTGCAAGCATGCATGTACACTGCAAGCATGCATATTGCATGTACACTGCAAGCATGCATGTACACTGCAAGCATGCATGTACACTGCAAGCATGCATGTACACTGCAAGCATGCTTGTACACTGCAAGCATGCATGTACACTGCAAGCATGCATGTACACTGCAAGCATGCATATTGCATGTACACTGCAAGCATGCATGTACACTGCAAGCATGCATGTACACTGCAAGCATGCATGTACACTGCAAGCATGCATGTACACTGCGAGCATGCATGTACACTGCAAGCATGCATATTGCATGTACACTGCAAGCATGCATGTACACTGCAAGCATGCATGTACACTGCAAGCATGCATGTACACTGCAAGCATGCATGTACACTGCAAGCATGCATGTACACTGCAAGCATGCATGTACACTGCAAGCATGCATGTACACTGCAAGCATGCATGTACACTGCAAGCATGCATGTACACTGCAAGCATGCATGTACACGTTGCACAGTGCAGTCATCAGCCTTCGGTATTGAGCAGGTTTTTGAGCCTGAAACAATGTAGGACCAGTGAAACTTGGCTGAATAATCTGGGCCTAGCATACCGAATAAGTTCCGGGTTCATGTAGCCCATTTCAATGTGCTTCTGGCCTTTCAGGTAGGTCCACTTCAGCTCCACATCTGCCAACGACATGTAGCTATCGACGTCCGTTGTGTTGCAGTTGCTGTCGTTAAACCAACGTGTGGGCGTGAAGAGGAGTGTTTCGGAGATGCTGCGCGTATACGACCTGACCTGATGCAGATACCCTGGTGTTAGAAAGGAACAAAAGGAACACCACGCAGACCGTGTAGAGTGTGGTGTGTAGAGGTTTAATGTGAATACGATCGACTTTGTATGGAGTGGCAAACTAGGGCTAGTTTGGTTGGACCACGTGGTGCCAAACTGGTGCTAGTTTGTAGGGAGTGGGAAAACCGGACCTAGTTTTGTATGGTGTGGAAAACTGGAGCTAGTTTTGTACGGTGTGGAAAACCGTTGCTAGCCCGTTGCAACGAGTGGCAAACCAGGGCTAGTTTGCATGGAGTGAAAAGCCAGGGCTGTAGTATGTATGGAGTGGAGAACCAGTGCTGTAGTATGTATGGAGTGGAGAATCAGTGCTAGTGTGTGTGCAGTGGCCACCAGAACACAATACTGAATCATTACAGAGCAGCACACAGGCCATCACCAACTACCTCCGGGTAGGAAAATGCAGTCCCCGGGTGCTAAGGTGGCCCAGGTCCATGGAACACCAGCCGCCAACGGATACTGCATCAAGTCAACACTATCCGGATCAATGAGTGAGTAGCCTGAGCCGTTGATTGTCTACAAAAACAGAACCAACAGGAATGAACAGGCAAGACGAGAGGGAAATAAATGGGTTAGCCTAAGCAGCCAGGATCCCGGTGTGCAATTCGAAGCATATCTATGGATATGGTTGTGCCTAACATATGACTCTTAAAGAAATCTGGACTAGCTGAAGCTGGTGCGAACACCATGTCAGCTAATGCGCTACAGTGCGTTTTTTTTAAACAGACATTTGTCGATTTTGATTTTTTAGTTTGTTCTCATTCCAAATTTGAATTTTTTCTTCACAGCTGCGTTTGTGTGGGTCTTGGATCGAAGAAAATTAAGTTTGGAAATCGGAATAATAATAATTGTCAAAGTTAGATATTTGGACGGTGCAGTTGTGCACTGCTGTCTGCAGTTCTCCTAACCTTTGTAGGAAACCAGTGAGTCGTGGCTTTTCACGACTTACTGTGGCAAACTGTACTGAATAATTCAAATGCTGTATTGCAATTAGCTCAATAAATCAAAACATTCCAGCATGCATGTAGGAAACTTCCCTCGATCCCTGAAAGAATGCAGTGAAAATTCAAACACCACAACAAATCACAAGGGCAATTCACACAGCACCCATAAAGAGACTAAAAGGAAGCAATACATGAGCGGTTTTACAAACACACAAACACACAAACACACACACACACACATACACACACACACACATACACACAAACACACAATGCAAATAGGTCACAGTTGTGTCTGGTTCAACATCTGCGAATAGTAGAAGACCAGCGAGCGTCGAAACGGCCCCAATAATTCCGTGTTTTGTGTTGCACTTGTGACGACAGTATTACACAGTGAACAGATGTGCTAGGACAGCCGACGACGTATATCATCGTTGGCGTCGGCCTCGTCGGTCTCCAGTCACGAACACATCGGCGCAGTTTTTCACGAATCCGTCCCGTCCACCAGTATGCAGAACAATAAAGCGCTTGCCTTTACCTGATGGAGCTTCATTTGGTTGCTTGCCTATACACTCCTGTCACCATTGTCGGACCAACTCCTAGTAACTGTGTGACGCGCATTGACCCACGTGTCATCCAGGTATGTCTCACAGGTAGGGATGCCGCCATGACACAATCCCGTGCCGTTCCATCATCATGTGTGTGATACCTCTGGTCTTGCCACACTGGAATCCCATGGAACACAACATTTTCCAAGAGCTAGTTTTGCTCATGTCTGGAAAATCGTCGATGCTTTCTATGCAGCGAGCAGGAACTTTGTCCAGTGTTGGGTGCTCCTTCGCAGCATAGAATTCGTAAATTACTTCTTATACAGTCCAAAGCAAATCCGTCAGGGTTGAGTGGTTTTATGGCACGAGTCTCACATTGGGGATTGTCACTCTCGTTACCTTCATCACTGGAGACAGACAAGGCCAACGCAGCACGCTGATTTTCGCCGTCAGCATCCCTGGTACATCTGTTCATGGTGGAAATGCTGACGCCACACGCAACAGCAGCATGACGAATGGAATACTTGGGACCAATTCGATGCCCAGCCATTGTTCTCCTCGTCTTCGCAAAAATTGTAAAACAGACACCACCATGGCCCGTTCGCGCTTTGTTATGTGTGGTATGTCGAGAGAACAAGTTGCCACGAACGAAAAGACACTCGAGAAAAAGCAAAATAGGGCCACAGAGCAGTCAGCAACAAAATGATTCCTCCAGCCACGAGGAGCTAGCTCGAAGGACACTCTGAACAAAATGGCGAAATGCCACGAGTCACACCTGGTTTTCGAATTTCGCGCGCAGATTTTCGTGACGCAACTCGCATGACATTTTCTCAAAAGTGGCCTTGAGTACGTTCTCAAGGATTTCAGAGTCTATTATAAAAAAAACGCACTGTAGTATCTAGGCTTTCAAATTTCAAGTGCAATTTTCTTTCTCTTTTTTTGCCTCTGTCCTCCCTCTCTGTATATTCGGTTCTGCCATGGTTGCCTGTCTCCCTTCATCTCATCTGTTTTTAAAATTCGCCATCTTTAGACGTGCCAGGAGAATATTTTCGGAATAAAAAAAATAATAAAGTGCAGGATGATGCCCATCATTTTGGAAACCTCTCATTACATGGAATATGACTGAAATACCCCAAACAGGATGTCACTGAGAACTACCAAACAAAGCTCAGAACACGTTTTTGTGAGCATTGACTTTACAAAGATACAGAGATACAAGTTTGTAGGTATGCTCCTAACTGGAAAACACCAGTGCATTACTTCCTGACAAAAAGGATATCACATTCAGTTGTGGACAAGGAAGAGTCTCGAGCACTAATAGACCTTGAGTGTGATTACATGTCATCAGATATCAAGCTACTGGTATTACGGTGCTTGCCTGTGATGCCATGTACAGCTGCGCCTGATACTTCTTCGGGATCATCACAAAGTCCTTACGGCCAGCCAGCAGGCAGTGAATGTTGTGATCTGCATCATAGTGAATCACGCTGCGCGTACCACCGTTGCTCATCCACAGATTGGCCTCCTGAATAAAGCGCCGCGTACTGCCACACAGAACACTGCGAGGTGCCTGAGCAAGATCAGGAGCAGCACACGAGCCCCACATAAAGCCGGGAATTAGACTTTGTGTGTCGGTGCAAGGGGAAAGACAGCCCAACCAACAACAGAAAAAACATTGACTGCCATGGCAATCCCTTGCACCACATGCTAAGTTATGCAGCTGTAGTTGCTGCAGTATGTCACAGCGTGTGTCAAATTTATGTCAGTATAAATGATTACAAGGTGGCCCACTTCAAGCTATGCACGCTATTACCAAACTATGCACACTATTACCACAGAATTGCGCAAAACAAAGTGCGCACAAAAGGAAATTGGCCACCCACGCCGGTATTCTCACATACCGTATTGTCCGGTGCGTACGCCGCACTGGAGTGTCCGTAACCCCCGTTTATTGCCACGACTGAAATACAGACATCTACCCTCTTTATCACCGTTGATTAATTTGATCATCGGAGTACCCCATCCCCCCCCCCCCCCCCCCTAGCTGAATTCCGGGTGTTCAAAGTGCGGCTTACACTCCGGAAAATACGGTAATCTGGACAGTTGAACTGAGTTTCCGGGAAGAGAACAGCTGGTGCAGGGTATCAACATGGCTTACCTTGACCTCTTTTCTCATATCATCCGGTAAGACGGTCACGATGTAGAGGTTGTCCTTCTGGTACCGGTCCAGGAACTCCCTCATCTGCATGCGCTTGGGCGGCGTGGCACGGCTTTCGTTCTTGACCTCGCTTATCACGTCCAGTGAGCCGTACGTCTCCCGGAGGTACTCGTCCGTCCAGAGGCGAAATGCCGGCGAGTCGCTCACCATTCCACGGTACACCAGCGGTTGCTTTGGCTTGATGTGTGTGCGGTAGAAATCGCTGGGGTGTAGCTCCTGCCAGCATGGGTCAGCAGAATGGAAATTATTCAGCACCGGGGCCTGACTGCTACCGTGCCCGCGGTGGCCAGCGTACGCTTTCATGGAGGTGTGTGTACATGGGGGCGGGGGTGAACAGTCAGACGTGCATTTGCCTGTGCCGCGCTTCGTTCCATGTGGGTTCGGATGGGTTTTGGCGACAGTTGATTTCTGTCGCCGTGTCTCACTGCAAACATTCAATGTCCCATGGTACAATTATGTCCACTATCATCTACATGCATCTATCATAAACATACTTCGAAGTAGTAGTATGATACACATAGCCATATGCACAGGAACACGGTGTTGCCAGGTTATGGCGTGTCTGCTACACCGTTTCCTGTTTACTCCCTTCAGGAGCGGCAAATCTGCACCGAATGAATGAAAACCACGGAGTGAGATGCATTTTCCGCCCCCATGCATTGAAAATCTGTTCGCATAGCCACGAAAACTCAAACTTTCAAAGACTGAAAAGTGCATGACATTGTAGATCTACATTCTGTGATCGTTGCACCACAAATGCACAAATGCACGAATGCTGGTCACAGAGACCTTCCTGAGGTGCAGTGGCACATGCAGACGTCTTGCCTCGGCTACGACTCACCTCGATGTACTCTTGTACTGGTCCTTCAGGAGCTCGTTGGTATCCAAATGGTTTCAGATGTCCTCTGCCATATGGTGGAGAGTCCACTGGTTCGTCGCCCAAACTCGGTGGAAATTCCGGAAGGCTTCGTGCGACCTCCTCGGCGCTAGCTACACTTACAGTCAGCACCTTGGCGGCGAAATGCGCCAGGCTGAGTGAGACGAGGACCAACGACACACACGAATCCATTCTGATCCGCGGCGTTCTGGCTACAAGGCGCACTTGCACTAGCGTAGTGCGACTCGGCTACCTTTCGTGACCGATGTCGAGAGCACACCTCCGATCCAGAGTCCCAAGTCAAAAGGTCTACTCAGTGTCGGTAGATACAGTCCACCTGGCACCCGCATATGTAACGACGTGAAATCCACAATGCGAATCAAACCAGTCAGATACATGTACAATCATGGTATTAATAGATAAACCAATAATTATGCATGTACAATCATTATCCATATAAAAACTGCTCTCTGAGCAGTTCTGAAAAACCTATACTGGTGCAGCCCCGTCGTAAAACTATGAAATTAGAACTGGGCCTTTATCCCCCCCCCCCCCCCCCCCCATGTGAAATGGTCCACCTAAATAGGGAATGACGGGACCCGAACGCACCAGTAGCACGAGGTCGGGAGGGCACATGTCACCAATAGTACTGCAGTGTATCAGTGGCTGTGTACACAATATTGCTATGGGGCTGTGGTCAGCGTCCCCATCTGCATCCATATGTGTAGGTGGGAACCTCGTGCTACTGGTGCGTTCGGGTCCCGTCATTCCCTATTTAGGTGGACCATTTCACATGGGGGGGGATAAAGGCCCAGTTCTAATTTCATAGTTTTACGACGGGGCTGCACCAGTATAGGTTTTTCAGAACTGCTCAGAGAGCAGTTTTTATATGGATAATTTCAGTTCTTTTTCCGTTCCCCCACCCACCCGGGGCCCAGCGGGTCAGTTTTAGAGTGGGCATTGATATGGTGTCGAGCCCCAACTCCGTCCCGTCGCAATGGGACATTGCAGTAGAGTGGTCACATAGCCAGCTGTGAGCACCCGTGCTTCGGCAGTGCGTGGCACTGGCACGCACCTCCTGATCAGCAGGTCATGCTGCCCGACTGCACATACGTGTATACACTCACGCAGACACGCGTACAGTTGACGTGATATGGACCAATGTACATACGCACAGGCAGAGGCGTGAAGAGACACACGGACAAACGGAAGCACAACAGTACGCATTGTTGTAGACAGGGGTGCATAAGCGCGCGCACATGCACATTGCGGCAACCGTGGGCCGCACCACGGCCCGCGCATGCGCCGAAATCTCTGTCGTCAGTGACGGGGCCAGTGAGACCACGGCACACCTCCCCCCCCCCCCCCCCAACACACGCACAAGGGAAGACATAAATGAACGCACACACACACACACGCACACACGCACACACGCACACACACACACACACACATACACACATACACACACACACACACATACACACATACACACACACATACACACACACACACATACACACATACACACACACACACACACACACACACATACACACATACACACACACACACACACACACACATACATACACACACACACATGCAAAGGAAGATGGCTACATGTACGCACGAACACACACACACACACACAGACGCGCGCATGCACACACACATACACACACATGCACACACACACACAGACACGCGCGCAGAGGAGAGCAAACACGGACATGTTGTGCAATAGCACTTCAGCAGACTTAATTCAACACATTGGCTTTCGGACGAAACATTTTTAATTGCATCAATGCTGTCGACGCTGCTTCAATGGCCAAGTGATGCGTGGCGATTGAAACTATGGCCACCTGGACACGAACGCAGAGAGAAGGCAGAAGAATGCGTGTTTAGGCAACAGACGGAGGTTGTGAAGCATTCACCCATTGCATACCACCGATGCGGGAAGTTCAGTACTTGCGGGTTATGGAAAATTTCCCTTGTCCAACGATTTAGCACAGGTCGATGTTGCAGACACCAAGGTGGAAATGTGTAGGCACAATGCGGAGGTTTTCACTCACATAACTTGTTAGTCTGTTCATGAGATTTCCCACAAATCCATCGCAATCTGCAAGGGGGAAGGGACCACCTCCTCCTTTCGCCTTAGCATGTGGCAAGAAATGCATGCAAACACAGGTACGTTACACACCTTCTCCTCGAATGCCGCATACTGTTCGGCAGGCCTAGTAATAATAGCATTTTCATCCAAACATAGATCGTGGTCGACTGTCATGCCCATTTGGGGCACAGCAATGTCTTTGAATGCGTCATCAAGGTACTTTCCTACCGTGAAATGGTCCCACACACCCGCAGGATACAGTCTGGTAACCTCAGCAACCATGCAATACATGTCGTTAAGGGTGCACTCACGAGCTAGTACATCTGTCAAGGCCTGCCGCGCTAGACATGCACGCTTCACGGCTGTTGCACTGGCGTACAATTTAGATGCTACATTGGAATGTGGCCTCATATGGTACAAGTTGCACCACAAGCTTCTGCATCCACTGTCGAAAGTGCAATTTACAGAATACCCGGTTTTGCACGTGGGAAGGCACCATTTCAAGTTGCGATCGACAATTTCGCATTTAGCACATGGATAAGGCATGTGGTCCACGTTCCTACTCTTTGACATGCGCGATTCAGCGAACAAGTTTCCCAACATGTCGCCCAAGTTCCTTTTCTCGTCGACGCACCCAGTAACCAGGTCACAAAAGTCGCGTATCTGAAGCGCACTACCCTCACGCACCTTGCACAGACCATCGCACTTCTGCAGCTCCACAAGTGTCAGTCCATCATCGTCGGGAGACACAACTTCAACTTGACCTGCCACTTCTCCCCCATCTGGCGACTGGACAGTGTTGTGTGCCTTGCCAGTGATGTCAGTAATTATAGGCGTCAATAATTCACTACCATCGCTGCCCAGACAAATGCGCCACGAGTCACTATGATAAGGTTGTGCCCTGCTGTCATGATGGTGACAGTCACCGCGGTATGTTTTGTCAACGTCACCCGTACACTCTTCCGTCAAGTCAAGTGTGCTCACATATTTGGCAAGGTGTTTGAAGCGATTAACTTCTATCCTAGTTATGTCACGGGTAACTTTAATGAAGTACCCGCAGACCTTGTCAATCCGAACATCGTCCACTCTCTCTGCATCGTCCAGGAGACGAGCGCGAATAGCGTCACGGATCACGTCTCGCTGACTTCCTCTCGTGTCGGCAGTGAAAGTGCACAGTGGTGGTGAAATAGGTGGAAATGTAGTTCTGTCGGGATCAGCGCTTTCGGAAGGATGCCACGTGGGGAGGCCAAATGCAGCGTCCGGAACATCGTCCGCACTGCCTATAATGTCACATATGTGCAATGCTGCACGCGGGTTTTTTTGCGCGGTATCTTTATGTGTGTCCGTTCCTTTGCCCGTGTTCTTCGTAATCGCTTTTGCGGGGGCACTTTCGCTTTCTTTGCAACAGGCCCATGCTTTTTCCCTTTCTTCTTCGATGTCTTAAAGGGGAAGTATACCCTAAAATCAAATTTTCACCAGTTGTAGTCTTCTGGGTGCTGAGTTGAATGGTCTTGGTCCGAGGAAGCTGCGACGCTCCCTTCCTACTTGAATCCCAATCGAACTCGCGCACTTCCACCGAAACTGGGTGACTGCGCCCTACTAGATGGGGATTTGTATGCAAAATGTCACTAAAAACGCCATTTCGTTCTTATAAAAGCACGGATGACCGCGATTGGCCCATATGCTGTAGTCTTTTGGACGCTGAGTCGACTGGTTTTGGTCCGAAAAGGCTGCGATGCAGCGTTCCTCCTTTATTCCCAATCGAACATGGTTGAACAAGCGGTCACGTGCTCCTGGGTGCCCAAATCACCTGGTCACCACGCCAGCAGGCGACAAATTTCACACCAAGGTTCAACTCGAGTTCAACTCGAGTGACAGGAGTGCACCCAAAAAAGGTCAAACAGGCTAGTAAGTTGTACCCTGCAGGCACGGTGACCAGGTGACTGGTGTACGCAGAAGCACGTGACCGCTTGTTCAACCATGTTCGATTGGGAATAAAGGAGGAACGCTACATCGCAGCCTTTTCGGACCAAAACCAGTCGACTCAGCGTCCAAAAGACTACAACATATGGGCCAATCGCGGTCATCCGTGCTTTTATAAGAACGAAATGGCGCTTTTAGTGACATTTTGCATACAAATCCCCATCTCGTAGGGCGCAGTCACCCAGTTTCGGTGGAAGTGCGCGAGTTCGATTGGGATTCAAGTAGGAAGGGAGCGTCTCAGCTTCCTCGGACCAAGACCATTCGACTCAGCACCCCGAAGACTACAACTGGTGAAAATTTGATTTTAGGGTATACTTCCCCTTTAATGCGCGCGGCGGGCTCTTTCACCCGCGATCTCGCCTGCTTTGCTTTCTCCCGAGATGTCACCATGTAAGCGGCCTGCTTTGTCTTTGCGTGTCCAGGCGCAATTTCTGTATGTCGCCTTGGTAGTTCATGACTACGTGTCTTCTGGCCAAATCTCGCCATGTACTTGGCCTGCTTTGTCTGTGTATCCATTTCATGTGCGACCAACAAAATTTCAATGCACTACAGAGACTAGACAGTGGGTGCAATACGCTCTCTATCTGAAGACGTGAACCATTACATTTTTTTGAAAAGTTATACGTACACCTGAAACGTAATGATGTACAGGAATAGAGAGAGTGACTACAATACGCTCTCGACCTGATATAGTGATAACGTGAGTACAAGACACTCTCCACCTGATAACGTGTTAGAAGGTAATAGGTCTACAGTCCCACCGTACCCTTCCTACACGACTGTAGACCATTACATTTTTTTACTACAATACGCTCTCGACCTGATAACGTGAGTACAAGACACTCTCCACCTGATAACGTGTTACAAGGTAACAGGTCTACAGTCCCACCGTACCCTTCGTCATTTCTCATTCACCATCGCGCGATACCCTGGCACACACTGGCAACATATCAATGGGGTGCCTTACCGTCGTCTAGAGGAGACGTCTTCGCACCAATATTTTCCCTCCTGCGCATTCAGTCGCCGACGCGACAGCGTTTACGGGGCCGTTCCAGTTGCGGAAGACATTCGATTCATCGGGCCAGTTCAGCAACAGGGCCGTGGACACACAGGGGCAGAGGAGAGACATTGTTAGTGGACAAGAAATATGCAGTGGCAAGTGGCGAGTGCCGCATGCGGATGTCAAGTTGTCATGCACAATTCAGCTATTACTTACAGTCCCCCTAGTCCTGCCATTGCTCGCTCGTCCTGGTTCGTCCTGGTTCGTCTTCCTGCACGTCTGCACTTCTCCTTCCCCACCGTTGGCTTTGCGGTACGGGGGT